TTCAACTTTATTAAGAATTACAGTCAAAATTGACTAAAAGTTTGTTTACATAAAATAAGTGCAAACAGTTTTATTAAATGTCGCCAATTCATTAAAAAAAAACATTTTCTTATGCTGGGTTTCTATTAATTAATTAAATTAATGTTAAGGAATATTAAACACGAAAAGGGCCGTGGTAGCTCAGATGGTTAGCGCTCGCTGTAAATTTCACAATATGGCCGGCACCAATAAAATTGTTAATTGCAATTTAAAGTGCTAATTTACCATGTGTTTGGCGGTGAAGGAAAACATCGTGAGGAAACCTGCATGTCTGAGAAATAAGAAATAAAAATATTTCAAAGACATGTGAAGTTCGCCAACACGCATTGGGGCAGCGTGGCGGACTATTCCTTGGCCTAAAACCCTCTCAGAAATAAGAGGAGGCCTGTGCCCAGGAGAGGGACGTATATAGGTTGTGACTTTTAACTTTTTTTAAACCCGAAAACTTAAAAACAATCAACGATAAGTAAATATTGTGACATTTGGATGTACATAAAATTATCTTTATAACATATAAGCACCTTTGAGTATCACAACGCTGTTTTGGATTTGACATATCCCTGACCTGTTCCCATAGACTCTAAATTAGCCATGGAACGGAGGGTCATGTCTTGACTGGGGACGTCATCTTTATCAATTAGTGTTGTTACGAGCTTAAGGTTCGTGATAATAAAAACTGCCGATATAATTACCAAAATTGAACAACCAATTAAAACTTGAATCACACTAATAATTAACTACACTTAACACTTTGGTTCACTCTATTTCGCTCCGAAAGCTTTGCTCGTATCGCCAATTCAATACTGTCCCGGTCGCGGTCCTTAGCCGGCTTTATATAGGCCTTTTCCACTGAAACATCCCGAACATTTGAGTACATACCGGTCCCAACCGACTAATGGTAGAAAGTTCTAGCAAAGAATCCTTCAGTAAGCCCTTGCCACTCGACACTAGATGGCGCTAGTCGAAAAGTTCTGGAAAGATCTTGATGCTCCTATTTCTGCAAGTAGCAGATGGCGCCAATAATCACCCGCCGTATACTGGGCATTAATTATGGCGCAGTGTTGCACTGTCCCCTCCTAAGACATGCTCGTCCCGAGCACTATCGGCCCCCATAATAACGCGCCAGTCGATCCACTGGACTATCTTAGGAGTACCTTTTGCACCTCTTTGTATCCGGTAGGTTTGATCCTTGTCACAATTCGGTACGGGTCGTCCCATTTAGCTTGAAGCTTAGGAGATTTTCCTTTGTTGCGGTCTGGATTGTGCAACCACACTAGTGAACCTTCGTCGAACCCTTTGTTATTCATTTTGCGGTCATACTGGGTTTTCATCTTCTCAGACATTTGCTGGCCAGATTATCTGACGTGCTCATAAATTTCATTCATTTTGTTCCGCAAGTCATTTGCATAACCGGTTATACTGCGTGGGGCATCAGGTGGTATCCCGGTGATAAGGTCCGTAGGCAGCCGTAACCCTCTTACAATGTTTTAACAGCGCTTCGATATGACAACAAAAACGGTTGTTTTTGCGTGTCCCAATCTCGTTGCCGATTGTCTACAACTTTTGCTAGGTACCTCTCCAAGGTCTGATTAAATCGTTCTACCATTCCATCATATTGCGAATGGTAAGAAGTCTTTCTTGTTTTATGAATACCCATAACTCGGCAAGTTTGCTGGAATATTTGAGACTCAAAATGCCTTCATGGATTGCTGTGAATCTCTAAAGGTACTCCAAAACGACAGAAGACTTCATGTACTAGTTTATCTGCAACTGTTGAAACTTCGTGATTTGGAATGGCGAAGACTTCTGGCCACTTAGTGAAAAGTAATCCATCACAACCATGAAATACTTGTTACCATTTTCACTTTTCGGAAACGGCCCTGCTACGTCAATGGCTATTCCCTCCTATGGTGCACCAATATTGTACAACTTCAGTGCACCTCTACTACGAGTCTGCGCTCCCTTTACAGCCGCACAACTTGTACATTTGCGACACCAGTCCTCGACGTCGTTTTGTCAGTGGACCCAGTAAAACCGTTCTCGGATCTTCAGTAGAGTTCGTTTAACTCCCAGATGGCCTCCCGAACAATCATTATGGTACAGCTGTAGAACATCCGGTATTTTAGCTTTAGGGACAACCATTTACAAATGATATCCGTCTCCCCGACCAATTTCCCATTTACGGCACAGAATTCCATCCTAAAGCAGCAAGCTGTCGCATTGGGCCCAATAGCTTTTCGTAGTCGAACTCATCGCTGAGACGTCGCTCCACTTGGGCTTAGGAGCACTGGCCTTCATCCATTCCAGAATCTGCTTGATGTCTGGATCTTCCTGCTGTGCATGTTGTAAGCTGTCCTACCACTCGTTGCTGAGGTGGTCTGTCCTGAGCATCCTCACAGATACGACTTCCTTACCTTCTTGCCTAGTACAATGCTTGCAATCTTCAGGACAAGGTGTTCTTGACAATGCATCCACGTTGCCATGAGATTTCCCGCTTCGATGATCGATCACAAAGTCGTATTCTTGCAGTAGTTCAATCCACCTCGCAACTTGTCCTTCTGGATTTTTGAACTGCAATAGCCATTTTAGTGCAGCATGGTCAGTTCGTAAGTGAATTTTCCACCCTAGAAGATATTTGATAAAATGCTGCAACGACTTTACCGCAGCTAGCAATTCGCGTCTTGTGACACAATAGTTCCTTTTCGGTTTTGACAATGACCTGCTGTAGTACGCTATCATAACCTGATCACCATTCCGTTGAGACAACACACCGCCATGTCCTGTATCACTTGCGTCTGGGTCAACTATAAATTCCTTGCCCCTGATGCACACCGAAAAAAAAATGGTGTTTTGCACAGACGCTCCTTGAGCTCCTGGAATGCGATATCGCGACTTTCATCCCAGCAGAAATATCTCCATGACACTGACATAGATACACTAGATGTACAACTACATCTGAAAAAGATTCATCCCAGTCTAGAAAATAATGTTTATGCTGCTAATAGACTGCCTATTTACACGTGCCAAGGTATATAATATGCAATTTGGATACAGATGGTACACCTGGCTCACATTGGATAGCTTTATATATCAATAGGAATGGCATCGGTCAATATTTTGATTCATACGGACGATCACATAAACGATACATCTAAAGTTTTTAAAAAGGAATTGTACAAGATGGGACTAGAATGTTGATAGGATTCAGAATGAGTGGACTTCAGTTTGTGGTGAATATTGCTTAATGTATTTGCTATATAAGTTTCAGGGATATTCAATGTATAGTTTTACGAGCATATTTACAGGGAAGACACTGGACAACGATATTTTAGTAGATGAGATGTTTCACACAGGAAAGGCTGAACAATGAAACGCTAATGAGGGTGCAGGCCCACCGGATATCAGTTAGATATTAATCATTTCTTATATTTACGCGAACAATACACATTGAAATAATACTAGTTTTTACGGAATTTATCGCGTATATAACTTTTTAAATACCCGACGTTTCGAACGATTTACAGCACTCATGGTCACGGGCGGGACTGAGATGTTCAACGTCCGGATGTCATAGTTAACCGCAATTACCATGGATTAAAATTTAACTTTTGTTCCGATCTACACAGTATAAACTTATGGTATCTTGAAGTCTTGCAGTTGTATGCTTGGGCTGGGATTTAATTTTATTTATTATAGGATCCCAAGCAGATGGTAGCACCCAGCCATCTTCTCTATTGAAATTAGGATGTTTTTTTGATTTCAATAGCCTCGCGAATCATCCTTAGAAGGAATCGGTGTTCTTTAGCGAGGATTTGTGGTCTATCAAATCTGATGTAGTGACGGGGACGATCCTGTACGTGTTCACAGACTGCAGACTTCCCAGAGCGTCGATTCTTTACATCAGCTATATGTTCTTTAACGCGGGTTTTAATTGATCTTTTAGTTTGTGCTATATAGGAGAGACCACATTCACAATCAAGCTTGTACACTCCTGCATCTTGCAGAGGGACATTACACTTGACTGATGGTAAAAACTGACCAATCTTCTTCAGCGGCTTGAAGTATGTTTTGATGGAAGCGCGCTTCAAGATGTAGCCAATCTTGTCAGTGACTCCTCTAACATATGGCAGTACAGCAGGTACACGCTCGACTGTGGCCGACTTCACTCGTTCACTGTGCTGTAAAGCGTTCGAAACGTCGGGTATTTAAAAAGTTAAATACGCGATAAATTCCGTAAAAAACTAGTATTATTTCAAAGTTAGATATTAGTTAATTGATCTGTACATCTCCAGAACCGCGCATCCTACGCAAAGAACATGCCAAAACCTTTTTTTTAGGATTCGTCGACCCACCTGCAGGCCTCGAGGGTTGGTGAGCCAGAACTGGTATAAACACACTACTGTAACTTCATTTCCCGTCTAATAGTCATGAGGTTAAGAGTGTGATAGGAGATTTTTGTGTTCTTCTGCGGCGGGTCTTGCAAAACTTAGCTCCGATCGCATGGACAGTTTTCACGAGCTTAACATTCATATCGTCCACCAAATTGCAGTCTTCTAGGCACTGAAATCATCATCATCATTACAGCCCTTCACAAGTCCACTGCTGAACATAGGCCATATGGCTATGTTCAGGCACTGAAAACGGGTTTGTAACTCTTGAGAGCCTGTAATTTTATTGACTTCTAATTGGACGATTGTTAATAGACGAGAGGGTAGTACAGGCAGCCTCCTAAGCTGAAAATAAGCACCACCTGGTGGTTCATGCATTAACGTACGGTAACAAATATACAGAAAAACAAATTGGTTACAAATAAGTGTCACTTTTTAATTCTCCCGATTCTTATATTCTTTAACCCTAGGCCACAAGTGGTAAAAGCCTAAGTTGAAATTAACAGCTTTATGGGTACTCAGAAAAGTGGAATGAGAGCTCGTTTGCTTTTATTCATATAAATTTTATTCCAGTGACTTGTGAAGATTTGAAGAGGTCCTTGCAGGAGAAACAAGCTGAGTATTTAAGAGAGGTCGAAGAAATTGTTCAGCCCAGCCCAAACCTGAAGCGCTATTGGCGACGTCGTGCTGAAGAAAAAAAAGAGGAAGAATTTTACAAGTAAGTACACATATATGTAACAGCAGCCTTTAAAGCTGGACAAAGGCATTAGGAGGCCAAGAATGTAGGAGCTTACATTTACACACATACTCGCGACTTTCGCATCAGTATTGATCAGTCCGGTGTGCAAGTCAGGCAATGTCCGCGGTGTGGAATTCAGGGACAGCAAGGATAACACCATCATTATAATTAAATATTAAAGTAATTACTCAAACAATTATAACACAAACAATAAATTAAAGATACGTGTTGTTGGGTTATTCCGTTTATCCACCCTGAGGAATCCACCCTAGGGTGGATACTCGGTAACGGGTGTTCGTTTATCCACCCTAAACGGGGTGGATAATCGGAATTCTCTTTTTGATTGTTATGCCGACTTTCAACCCCAAGTACAGTTCAACAGAAGATATATTTATTTAATATATATTGGACATATGTCTAAAATGTGTAAATTTACTCAGTATGTCAACACAGCGAATCGGGTTTGGCGACGCCAATCCAAAAATAATAATAAAAATAAAAAATACAAAATAAGGTTATTAAGGTTATGTGGGGTATCTATATAGTTTTCTCATCTGGTTGGGTTCTGTAAATATATAATTATAAATTAAATAGAAAAGATAAATATACATAAATATAATTAAAATAAAATAAATACAAAAATACATAAATAAATAAAAGCCCAAACAGATGGAAGCCCTCGGCAGGGGAGACCAAACGGCCGAGGGTTAGGAGAAAAGGGAAAGAAACCGGCGGACGATGCGGGCGGTATCGAGGAGCACCGCCTTCTGCATTTGAGCCCGGAGCGGTCCGTCACGGAGTCCCAGTCGCCTCAGATGACCCGAACGGCTGATTGGGATTAGCCCATTCGCAGAGACGACTATAGGAATAATTTCGGCCGGCATACCACCCCACATGTCGGTCACCTCGTGAGCCAGGTCCAGATATTTTATTCGTTTATCTGTTTCGGCTTTCACGAAGTTCTCGTCATACGGAATGGTAATGTCGACCAAAAATATCCTTGACTGTGCCCGGTCCATCAGCACAATATCAGGCTTATTCGCAAGAATAGTCCTGTCCGTGATGATGGCGCGGTCATTTTCGAGCACGGCTTCCGGCAAGTACTTGTAATACGGCAATTTCCGGTCCACGAGACCGTATTTCAGAGCGAGCTCCTGGTGTAGAATTCTGGCTACTAGGTTGTGCCTGTGCAAGTACTCAGAGTTAGAAAGCGCCGAACAACCGGAGATGACATGACTCCCCGGGATGGCGACAAACTCGACAGAGGGCGACGGTGCCATCCTTTAGGATGTATCTCCGATAGTTGTTGGTCTTAATAACCTGATTCTGTATTGCACAGACAAAACCCTCGGTTTCCCCGAAGAGGTCATCGAAACGTAGCCAATTGAGGGAGGCGGCTGTATCTACGTGGGGCTCATGTAGAGCCCTGTAGTACCTCCCGTGGAGCTCCTTCTCCTTCCATACGATCTCCCGGTCGGAAATGCTCTGTACTACCGGGTCCTGCCATTGCTCGTTGGCTAAGGATAGAGGGGTAAGTCCTTTATCACTAGAAATGATGTTATTATAGAATGGATCATCCGATCTCGCCAGGAAGTGATCACGGAAGCTTATTAAGGTTATTATTATAGTATTATTTGTGCACAGGCCTCTCAGAAATGGTCACGAAGAAAACATTAAAAACTCGAGCTTAATAAAATCAAAACGTACCCGATGCACAATATTCGATTTATAATGCAGGTCACCTTAGTATTGCACATACGAGTCAGTCCAGGAGGAATTGGCACATGAGTAACGAAAACTATTCCATCTCAATTTTTTTATGCGATTCTCTTCAAATTGTCTTTCTAATAATGCGTGTTGCCGTGGGGCTACTTGGTGCTATCCATACTAATATTATAAATACGAAAGTGTGTTTGTTTGTTTGTTTGTTTGTCCTTCTTTCATGTCGCAACAGAGTGTCGGCATGGCATGATTTTTTGTATTGGGATAGTTCGGTGGCTGTAGGGTGACATAGGCTACGTTTTTTCCGCGGAAAAACATCTCATTCCCGTGGGAAAATCGAATATGTTGCAAAATTAAAGTCAGCTAGGTGGCGCCACCGTGATTCTACAAGACGGACGACGGTACGATGGACGAACACAGAAGGTCAGAATATCTGGATTATTATGTCTTTTTACCAAAATTAAGATAAAAAATGTATGGATCTATATTTTTCACGCAGGACCGGGAAGAGAGCGATAAAAAACATAAAATTCACCAGCTGATTTTCTTCAAACGTTTTGGTGCATTGTAATTCACAGAATAGGCGATAACCTCGCAGACGATATTAAGTAATCTGTTGATGCTCCGCCTACCCCGCAAGGGTTACAGGCGTGATTATAAGTATGGATCAGAAATACTATCACCACCTGTCACGCTTTCACCCTTAACTATTAGTTAACTGTGGTAGAAACAGTTCTTAGTAAGCCTGATTAATAAGCCTTAGTAATATTTATTGAACGGAAATGAATACAGTTCTTATATGTGGTTATGAATTAATCGGTATTACAATAAGGAAAATTGTGCAAAATTATAAGAAAAATATTTTTGAGAGTTAACTAACGTATACATAGTTTAAATTGATTCCGCTAGATGTCGTTACTAGGTTTTTAAAACGCGGTAACGAAATGTTTCCTGACATGTACTTAACTCCCGTCGTTGAGCCGCGCGTCAACTTATAGTGCATACGGTACCCATACGCTTAAATTGTTTCTATTTCGTAGCTTATTCGACTACCTGCTTTCGATTTTGATTGTTTGTTATTTGCTTTGCGATTTGGTTAAGGTTGAATGGATTTATATTGGCTTTCATTTTCGGATTTGTGTATTTTCTTGGATCGGTTTTGTTGATTTGGTTGGTATTCCTTTATACATATTTAGACTCTGGCTTTGATTTTGGATTTTGTTTATTTAGAATCGTGAAATGGTTTTCGTTGTTTTAGGTTGTTTAACAATATTTCAAAGGAATATTAATAGTACAGATAGTGTATACGCTACCTATACACTTACTTCTTTTTTCGTTGGTTATATTTATATTGACTACTGCTTTCGATTTCGGTTTTCTGCGATTTGTTTTGTGATTTGGTTTAAGTTGATTCGATTTTTTTGGCTATCGTTTTCAGATTCGTGTTGTGTCTTGAATTGGTTTTGTTGTTTTGATTTTAAAAATATTTAAAAGGAATATTTATTCCCTTTAGATATTTTGGATTTACTTTTAAAAAAATATTTAAAAGGAAATTTAATTCCTTTTAGGTATTTTAACGTTTTTTTTTATAAATAGGTTTTTAGTTACTAAATAATGCCTCGCAAACGTAAGTCTAGCCTTTCACGAGTATCTTCTCAAAGACAAGCGAAAAGATTAGCTCGATCGCTATAATCTTTAGAAGATGCTGAACTGAGAAGGCAAGAACAAGCAGAGCGTCAAACTGCTTTTAGAGTATCTGAGACACCTTCTCAACGTCAGCAAAGGCGTCTTGAACAGACAGAGCGTCAGACTGCTTTAAGAGCTTCCGAAACACCTTCTCAAAATCAGGAAAGGCGTCTTGAACAGGCAGAGCGTCAAGCTACTTTAAGAGCTTCAGAAACACCTTCTCAAAGTCAGCGAAGGCGTCTTGAATAGGCAGAGCGTCAAGCTACTTTAAGAGCTACTGAAACACCTGCTCAAAGTCAGCAAATGCGTCTTGAACAGGCAGAGCGTCAAGCTACTTTAAGAGCTACTGAAACACCTGATCAAAGTCAGCGAAGGCATCTTGAACAGGCAGAGCGTCAAGCTACTTTAAGAGCTACTGAAACACCTGCTCAAAGAGAAAAGTTTTGACAGGCAGAGCGTAGGACTACTGAAACACTTGATCAAATTCAGCAAAGGCGTCTTGAACAGGCAGAGCGTCAATCTACTTTAAAAGCTGTGTTTCAGCACCTTTGATAAACGACATAGCAGCCGTAATTAGTGGTGATCAATTTTCTTCACGAGACATTGTCTTGCGAGCACGTGATGATACGTTGCAACGGGTAGCCGATACACACAAGTTTTATGACTCTCTGCAATACCCATTGATTTATTACAAAGGACAAGAGGGTTATCATTTTCAAATTCCACTCATTAACCCGGTCGCAAAGGAGCCTACTCTGAACAAAAAAGTATCATGTATGGATTTTTAAGCGTATCATATGATGTCAATCTACTTTAAGAGCTACTAAAACACCTGCTCAAGGTCAGCAAAGGCTATTCGAACAATCGGAATGTCAGGCCGCCTTAAGAGCCGCGGAAACACCTGATGAAACTCAATACAGACTCATTGAGCAAGCTGAAAGTCAATCTACTATAGGAGGCATCTGAAACACCAGAACAGACACAGGCGCGAAGAGATGCAAATGCACAGCTCCAAGCTGAACGTCGCCAAAATTTTCAAAGAAATAATTGGTTGGTTTTTAATGACGCAGCATTCAATTATGATCCGTTGATTGATTATAAAAATCACAGGTTAGTTGTTACCGGACTGATGGACAAGGCGTGTCGATTTTGCAGCGCTTTAAAATGGAAAGATGAGACCGTAGGCATGTGCTGTTCCAATGGCAAAGTGTCTCTTCCGTTACTTGGGTAACCAGAAGAACCTTTGAAAACTCTTTTTTTATATGCTGCTAATGAGTAACAGCGCTTGTTAAACAGGATAAGGAAGTATAACTCATGCTTTCAAATGACGTCCTTCGGAGTTGACCGGGAAATAATAATGCCGGGATTTTCGCCTACATTAACGGTAGGTTTATTATAGAATAGGTTCACTGTTTCCAGCTGAAAACGAACAGCATAAATTTTTACAAGTATATTTTATGGGTGACGAAGAAATTGAGGTAGAAGGTCGCTGCCAATTTATCCAGGGAGTTGAGAGAGACATAGTGTTCAAAATTCAAAGATTCTAACAACGTTAAAGAACGTAACATTTT